GAACCTATAATTTAATTACAGGAATGTTGGCTTTTCCAACAAGGTTGAATGTAATTAAAGTATCTGTAACAAATAAAATGAATCAGGAAAATTTCCTCACTCACCTTTTTCCCTGAGATAATAAAAGACTAGAAAGCACATATTGCTTGTGTAAATTTATATTCACTATGTTAACATGCATGTGTATGACAGAGAAAAGAGAGAAAGAGAGAGAGAGAGAGAGAGAGAGAGAGAGAGAGAGAGAGAGATTTCTCCCATCTCTTGAGACTACCAAAGTACCCAATATTAATCATCTTTCAAAATAAAGTCCCTTATATTGAAGAAATGATAGCTATCAACAGATATAAATTAATTTTCGTGATCATGAGCTTCCATAAGACAAGGATTACAGGCTGGGGAGATAGCTCAGTAGTATAAGTGCCTGCTCGGCAAGCACAAGGATCTGGGTTCGAATCCCAGAACCTAAAGCACACCATGCCCAAAACTAAGTGTGGTAGCACATGAATATAATCCTAGTTCTAGGGAGGCTGAGACAGGAGGATCACTACGAGTCTGGGCTGCATATCAAGACCCTATACCAAATAAGTAACTAAAATATTTTTTTAAATTATGTTTTTAAAGAGACAAGCATTACATTTGTTTAACAATGTATCAATTGTTTTAGTTCTTTTACTAAATATAAAGCCGTATCAGAAACTTTCCATCTCTGTTAGGTCAGAAATCCATATTAGAAAAAAAAGGAAAAAAAAAAAAACCCCTGTGCGGTGTGCTTTTATTTTTATATAAAGAGTATTTTCTCTGAGAGGGGGGGATGTGCCCAGCTGTGGTTCCTGGGTTGGCTGCGGTCCTGGGGTACTGCTCTGGGGAGTTATTGGTTTCCTGCTGTGTTCACATGGGATGTTTCTTTCCAGCCATCTATGAGCCCTCCTGTGAAGCCTACAAACACCTGGGCCAGTCATCCAATTACTACTGGATAGATCCCGACGGCAGCGGACCACTGGGGCCTCTGAAAGTTTACTGCAACATGACAGGTAACGATGTCATATTTATGTTTTATGGAGATGGCTTTCTATAGGTGCAGAATAAATGGCTCCAAGGGTGGCTTATTTCTTTGCTGCAGTATTCTCATCACAGCATCTAAGTTGTGTATTCCTGGATGTCTTTTTAACAAAGAGGATGAAATATAGCTCTGAAGCAATGAAAACGGCAAATGTCAGGGACTGCATTTTGTAGAAGTCTAACTCTTACTTGAACAATTAGTCACTGGCACTTAAAGAGTTCCTATTCAGACTCAAGGGGGTAAAACTGTGAAGCTGAAGTCCACGGGAGAAGGCAACAACTTATCCCGCACAGCTAGATGGGAAGAATTTGGCTCGCTGTTCTGGTGTCTTTGCTGCCCATGCTAGGGGAAGCTCCTAGACTTCTCTAGACTTTCCTCTCTGGCCTACAAGCCCAGAAAGAGCCTTTTTGTGTACTAAAACCTTTATTTGCAAGTACTATCTGAAACTTTCATGGAATTTCTTTGGAGAGTCAACCTTGGTTTTGTTTTTCAACTCCATGTTAAATTGCAGGGATATAAAATGAGATTGTAGGTTCTTTATCAGCTCCCAACGGAAGTAGGATTGTGCATAGCTATAAGTTCAGGGCAAATTTCCCATCAGACATGTGGCAAAATCTTACCCTCCAGAACTTCAGAAAAGGGTTTAAGATGTACTGCTTACCCTTTTCAAAACAAAACCAGCATTCAAAGTGAAGTCCTGGGCTGGTGAGACAGTTCAGTGTCTAAGTGCCTGCCTGGAAAGCAGAAGAACCTGTGTTCCATTCCTGGAACCCCATTTGATGCCAGCCACTGAAAGCAGGCATGGTGGTGTATGCTTGTAATCCCAGTGCTGGGGAGGCTGAGACAGGAGGATCACTGTGAGTCTGAGCTGTGAGGCAAGACCCTGTATGGAATGAATAAATAAATGATATTTTTTAAGTTCTGAGGCAAATGGTGCTGAGCGTAGTGACAACGTGATGCTGCTGACAAGGACCGTCACATGCAACCATTCGTCACATGTTGAGAGCCATCTTCTTTTTTTTTTTTTTTTTTTTTGGTAGAACTGAAGATTGAACTCAGGCCCTTGCACTTGCCAGGGCAAGTCTTATTCCACTGAGCCATGTCCCCGGCCCAAGCCATTGATTCTTTATTCAGACACCTGAGTTTGAATCCTGGCTCCGTTAGTCTCCAAATGTGTAATCTTGGGGGCCTTCGTTAACCCAAAAGACCCCAGTATCTTCAACTTTAAAATGAATTAGAGGGGCCGGGGAGATGGCTCAGTGGAATAAGCGCTTCCCTGGCAACCGCAAGGGTCTGAGTTCAATCCCTGGTTCTGCAAAAATAAATAAATAGATAGATAGATAGATAGATAGATAGATAGATAGATAGATAGATAGATAATAACACCTTCCTCATAGATTATTGTCCGAACAAAATAAGAGAGCCAAAGGTAAATCTTAGCATATTGGCTCACATAAAGTGAAAGATTACTTAAAATTAAAGTATTATCATCATCATCATCATCATCATCATCATCATCATCATCATTATCAATTAATTCCAGTGGTACCAAGAGTTAAGTCACCAGGCTGTATCATTCAGGAAGGGCTGAATTCAGACTCGAATCTCTTTGCAGCCAGTGCTTCCTAAATACGGCTGGGCTTTTTAACCCTCTTTCAAATTTTGTTTTATTGTTCCCTTTTTATACAAACTTCATGGTTCCACCTCTGGAGAAATTAGTTCAGTAGTTCTTGAGTATAAATAAGATTGTACAGCTGCAATCTGAGGTCCCAACAGTATGGTGGGCAGGCAGAGTGCTGGGCGGGCAGGATGGTAGGTAGGCCGGATGGTGGGTGGGTGGATGGGCCAGGTGAAAGCCTTCAGCATAACCAGCAAAGTGGGTGTGATCCCCAATGGCAGGGACAAGAACAGGGATGGGAGAAGAGTGTGTACAATATGCAGAGACGATGGTAGTTTATGGGCTAGACTCTCTGCCACTACCACTGGAGCCAACATGTCCAAGCAAGCATGGAGAAAAATTCCACACCCTGGAGCTCTGGCCTGAGAGCTCTCCTATGGCTGCACCCATGAATATGCCAAAACCTTTTTGTTGCTCTTCATTTCAATCTTACTAGAACTGGACTATAATCTACCAAAATTTGAGTTAATTTATAAGATTCTTGACCTCGGCTTCTCCTAATATACATACATTTATGTCTTCATTAAAGTCAGCTATAAGGCCCAAGGGAAATCAGGACTTGTTGATTGAGCCTAGACAGTTAACAGTTTAGTAGTTTTCCTGCATTCATCCTAAGGGAAAATGAGAAAAGCGAAGCCATGACATTCACGATCCTTATGTCAAGGTCCACTCCATGATGGGCTGGTGTACTTTTGGGAAAATGTATCTTTCTGGAATGGGGCCTTTCACTCTGTAAAACAGTTCCATCTGTGTGGGTATCTCCCGTATAGATCATGTACTTTTAGGGTGGAGCCCGCTGGTCCAGGTGACTCTGAACATGGACTAACAGCCTTGCAACGGTTAAAGATTTTCATTTTATCTATTCGCATAGTTGCGAGCCTCAGTGTATACAAGGACCTTGCCAAATCTTGCCTGTTGACCAGCAGGTATTTTTAGCCCTTTGTTAACCTTCCTTCTACTGGGAAGGATATGAATTTACAATTATCAATAGAGTATAATACTACCAACCTTGGTTGAGCCAAGAGATTTGTAGTAAAGAAAAGAGAACAACTGCTTGAAATATACTATATTTTTTTCAGTACTGGAGACTGAACCAACAGCCTTTTTACTGAGCTACTTCTCTAGGTTTCTTGCTCTTGCTAAGCTATTAAATTGTTGCCCAAGCTGAGTTAGAAATTATGATCCTCCTGCCTCAGCCTCCTAGAGTGCTAGGATTGCATACATACATTACCAAGAGGGACATCTATAAATATTTGATATGTCATTATGTCATGAAAAATTATATATGCCCCCAAAACTTAAAGGCAAAAGGACAGATGGTCCTTGAAGAACAGAAGAGAAAGGAGCCTTATTAGTAAATGCCTCAATGCATGGAAGCGATTGGCTCACATCAAGGAACTGAAATGCAAGCAGCTGTAGTAGAGGAAGCCTAAGAGTAGGGCTCCCTTGGAATGGGGAGACTCGCAGGCTCATGGTAGACGAGCAGGGAGGGTTGTAGGGCAGAAAATAGAAGTTTGCTTTTTATTGTTTCTAATATTTTTGAACCTCAGTGGGTAGGAATTCAGTGAGGCACTTTGAGCATTTTGAATGCATTTAAAGCCAACATTTGGTATACAATTAGAGGCAGAGTAAAACTTAGGAGGCCGCTTTCAAAGTTAATGTACACATAGACGGGAGAGATGAGCCTTCTTTGGACCAGCCTGGTGTCTGTTTAGTGGAAAGAAGTACAGAGACTTTAGACCTGTTTTAAAAGGAGAACTGGGGATCCAGGGATATAGCTTAGAGGCATAAGCACCTGCCTGGAAAGCCCAAGGTCCCAAGTTCAATCCCCAGTGTCAAAAATAAATAAACAGAATAAAAGTAGAACTGGGAGGATTGGCAAAAGAGTGATTAAGAGTAGTTAACGACAGACAGTTTTCAATCATGTGTTCTAAACAAAGGGATCAAATAATGTGGTGACTTGCAGTCCCATTAAGGGGATGTGGAGAAGTAAGAGAAAAACAGATTGACATTAAGATAAAGAGTTCAGTTTTGACCTAGTTAAATGTTAGGTGCTATATGTCATCTAAATTCAAAACAGAATTTGCAGCTTGGTAAACCCACAAAGACTGTTTGGGTTAGAAATAGAAATGGGTGAATCCTCAGTCTGTGATTATATGTGAATCAGTGATACAGAGTCATGATGTTAACAGAGAAAAGGGGTCCTAGGAATGAGCATCCAGTAGATAGACACCCAGTTTCTCATGATGAAATATTGACAGTAGTGAAGGAAGACTATCTGGAATCCTTTGGGACAAAATTTGTCACCTGTGAGGTTGTCACAGTGACTGCTTGGGGCCAGAAGAATAATTAAAAAGTCTTAGAGGACATGCAGTGACTGTCAATCAATGCAAAAGTATTTCATGTATGTGGTGGGATACAGAAGTATGGCAAATTGTCATAACCAGGGAGCAGGAAATTTGGCATGGGCGTAAATGATGGGCTGTCCAGGGAGCCTTGTAGACCTCCGAGGCAAACCACAAGCTCAGCTACATCTGTTGGAAAATATGGGTTCTCTAAGTGACAGAGAAACTCAAGTTCTGCACAGCTAAAATTGAGAAGAAAATATTTTCACTCAATCATTTGTAGAATTCATCATTCTGTGACAATCAAAGCCTGCTTTCCAGTTAGGATACATTATGAAATGTAGTCATAGATATCCTGGCTTTCTTTTGCCAGTCCTATCATCTCTTTGAAAATCTGGTCCCATAATTTTTAAGAATTGCATTACCTCAGATTTTCAGGATTTACCTCTTTTAATTGTTCATCATTTTCCAACATTCTAATTTCATATTTCTGTTTTCTTTCAATATCTACCAACATTCTCTCAATAGAAGCTGTCAGCTTTTGTATGTTAGGCTTCATTTTCTTCTTCCTACCCAGTGAATAATAATAATAATAATAATAATAATAATAATAATAATAATATTTAAACAAAGTTTTTCAGAACCTTACTGCCAATCCCTAAACTAAAAATGTTTTTCTTAATAGTCTCTTCTGAGTAGCTCTCTCTTTGCACTTATATTTAATTTTCTTAAAATTTAAATAAGCAACTGTGCTTTAGCAAGGGAAGTTTCAAGTCCAAATAAAGAACACCTCTTGCATTCTTCCCAGCAATGGTTTTGTAATTTTATCAGAAAGCCATTAAGTTTGTTTACATAATTTGTGCCTTATAAAGCCTTGGGATTTAGCTGATCAAATTCTATTATCCTGTATAATGGTAAAAGCTGCTCATGTCTTTTTAATCTAATATT